CATTTTTATAAAATATTTATTTAGTAACACTGTATATAGAATTAATATTATAAAAAATACAGTTTGTAATTACTTAATAAACTTTTTATATATAAATTAAAGAGTAAATTTATTCATTGTAGGAGATAATACATCTTATACATCACCTTTATATACATATCTTATTCTAATCCTAACTCTAACTTAACTTAACTCTAAGCATATGATACTTACTGATGTAACAAATAGGGTTTCATATATGAAAAAATTTTTAAGTTTTCAGAATATATATGAAAAATAAAAAAGGGAGAGGTATGATACAGGTGACAAAAAGGAGGCGATGATATTGCACCTGCAATGAATAAATTTACTCTAAATTAAATTATAATTATTAAATTAATTAAAATATAAATTATTAATGTTTATTAAATTGATTATTAATAAATAAATTATATCCTATAAGAAATTTAAATACAGAAATAATATATTTTTTATATTTATAAAAAAGTATAATATATGGATCACATTTATTCCACTGATAAATGATTTACTGATAATTATTTTACTGACAAACTTTTCACTGACAGGATCATTTTACTAACATTTCACTGATGATTATTTCACTCTAACAATTATTTTACTGACATGTTCATTTTACTAATAAATGTTTTACTGATGATCATTCACTAACATTCTCAAAAACATATATATTTTATAAGAAAAAATTGCAATAAATGCTTTAATTTATATTTTTCAATAAATTTGATTATTTATTCTGAAATATTTTTATTTATTTATTAATTGCCTATTTATATTAATATGCAACATTGATAAAATATGTAAAATGATTATCATATCCACTGATTTACAAATTTTAAACACAAATTGGGTTATTGTACAACACTATTAGCTGATTACCATTGGTTAATAAAGTGACGATCTCGTAGTGAGCCCCTATAAAAACAAAAATAATATATGAAAACCCATTACTTGTAGAAAAACCCATTGGTTTCTTAAAGTAAAAAAAAGGACATGTTTATCGTCAATTACGCATTGAAATTTATAAAATAATTACTTATTAATATTTTCTTCTTTTAGTGGCAATAAAGAAACTTAAGTTCGTGATTTAAAGAATGTCATTTTGTTAGTCAACACTGCTGGTATTTGAAATAGTTTTATTATTAAAAATAGTAAATAAAATTTCGTTCAAGTATTAAATAATAAATACTCTTCATTTATTATAGTTATCAATAATCTGTTAGTATGTTAACACCTTCTTATACTCCTTCACCAGATACCTCCATTTCATATATTACTTATAGCAAACAATTCAAAACTTTACGAGGTTTAATGCAGTATGTTCAAATCGTATAAACATATAATTAACATTGACAAGACCTTGATGAACTTCTAGCTAATATCATTATTGAATTTAAAGAAATCTTAGTTATGGAAATACATAAACAATTAGCTTTAAATTTTAAATCTATGGGAAAGAAGTTAGTATCTATACCATATCCTAAAAATCTTTTTTTTTTATTTTTGCTGGGCATATTCATTATTATTCTAAAAAAAAGGTAATTACAAATGTATTTTTTGAGGTAATAGTATATATCAAACTTTGAGTGAAATTTTAAATTCAAATCAATAGGAAAAAAAGTTTATTCACAAAATCAAGAAATATATGTAGTATGTTTAGATCTGATTTTATGAAATTCTTCTAATTCTCAAAATCAATTTGAAGAAAATGAAATAGATCCTCTTAAACAATTAATTTATCAATAGCATTTAGTTAAAAAAACTAGACGACCTCGATTTTTACGTGAAGAAATTTTAATAGAATGGAAAAAACACGTGTCAAAAGAAATTAATGAAAATATATGTGCAAGGATTATATATTTTTTAATTTTTATATTTCCCAATCTTTAGTATAAAGGATGTAAAGAAAAATTTTATTAATAAAAAATTTAAATTTTTTGACAATTATTAAAATTTTATTGTTGATATAACAATTCTAATTTATTTAATACAAATTTTTTTGGTTTTGAGGATTCAGGTAATGTATTATAAGTAAAATATAAAGTTCTATTTTCATATTCTAAAATTTCTTATATCACAGGTTTTCTTTTTAATAAATTACCACCATTTTTTGTGAAAAAAAGTAGAAACTTGATTATGATTCTTTTTTTTTACAGCACAATAAGAAAATGCATTTAGACCCCACTTGATGTTTTCTAATAATTCTTATCTATGATATACCAATGCATGCATATAAAGAGTTACTTGACTTGGCATATATAATCCTTGTATAAATGTTTTTGGAAAAGAAGGATTTCCTTTTGATGGTATAAGAAATAAAGATAACTATTCATGTGATTGTTGTTTTAATTGTATTGGATTTGTTATTTTATCTCAAATAGAACAATATATATCATAAAATCCATCCCAAAGTTTTTGTATTAATTGTACACAAGATGATTTAAAAAGTAATTTTAAATTAAAAAATCGTAAAACAATTTCTTTATCATTTCTCATAAGAGATGTATATTTTCAAATATGTGATTTTTCATCTTCCCAAAAATGGAAAGATACTTTTAAATGTTACATCTAATCCATAATAATTTTTTATGTCAAATCATTAAATAAACCACGTTCTTGAATTTCTGCAAGCATTAATTCCCAAAGCCGATTAGTAATTCATAAAAGAATATGTAATTTATCAAAAATTATATGATTAATTAGAATCATATCAAAAAGAGGAGAATGAATATGACTACAAATTTCATTATAATTTGTTACAATTTGCTCTATATTTTTTTCAATATGCCAATCTTTATTTAAATCTCCAATTTGATCTTTAGAACATAAACACCAAGGATAAAAATATTTGGAATTTGCACTATTTAATCCAAGATAAATAGCTAAAAATTTCCAATCTGCACTAAAGTATAGTTCAAATTTCCATAATATTTTAGATATTTTTAATTCAAACTTCTTAAGTGATCGTAATTCATTACAAAAAGGATTCAATATAAATTTAAGTGTACTATAATTTTCAGTTTTCAGATATAATGCTATAGTATAATAGTATCTGCATGGTATTATTGACTTTTATGATTTAAAATCATAAATGTTATCATAACATATTTGATTTTTTTTCTTACATTTTGCCTATCACCAGAAACACACAAATGAATAATTGGATCTGATGATTTTAATATTTTTTGTTTTTGTAGTTATGGAATAAGATAATACAAAATATCTTTTATATTACGATGAATGCCTAATCCAATTATATTAATAACTTCTTGTACTATTTCAAAATTCATAATATCTAATTCTTCAGATTCTATAATGTCTTTTAATTCATTCTTTTCTTTTATATTAACTAATGAAATTTTGATTATATTATTCATATGGTTTGTGATTGCAATTCATTCATTAGAAACAGAATTTTCATGTGGTAAATGGTATTCTACAGCAGCTAATTCTTGATAAGAATCTCTTAATATTTGTTTTTGATCAACTGCTTTTACTATAGATTAAAATTTGAGAATTTTTTTTATTTGATCTTCATATCTGAAATTCACTTAAAAGTCTGTTTTATTAATAGAAAATTCAATTACTTTTAATTTAACTTCATCAGATTGGTGATAAATTCCTTTAATATCACTACTAAAACTAGATTGCATTTTTGTTGCAATTTTTTTAACACATTTTTCAAGTGTTGACAAAATACAATTATCAGCTAGTTTGATTAAATTTCTTCTTCTTTTCGATTCACATGCTTTCTACACACTTTTTAATTGTAATTCAAATATAAGAGAACCCAAAAGTGTAGTTTTAGTTCTTGATTTTAAAGTCTAAGGAAAAAAAAAATACATTAATAAATTAAACAATTATAGTTAATACAACATTATAGCATTAGCTTTAAATACTTACTCTTTCATAAATTAATGCTATATTAGACGGAGATTTAGTTGAAGAAATAATATACTAAAAGTTTGGATCATATCTAATATAAAACTGAGGTATTTTGTCAATATAATTAATTTTACAGCAAACTGTTTGTTTGCTAGCAGCCCGTCCTCAAGTTGTTTCTACAACATAACCATGTGGAATTTTATACTGTTTACTTTACCTTTTCCTTCTAATATTGCTAATATCTTGTAAAGTTTCAGTTCGTTCTTTTTATTTATTACTTAGCTTAGTAACAATCTTGTCAGAATAAATACCCTCTTTTATAATAACATAACTAAAACTACGTTTAGTTTTTTGATTTACATGTTCCTGGTATAAAATATTATTATTTAAAGAATATGTGAAAGTTTCTTGAATTTAAACACCATACTCTAAGTTTTCTGTGTCACTATCTATACTTTTTGCATTAAATGTTAAAACTTAAAAAATTCATTCAAAAATGAATACATAAAACGTACTTATTTTTATTGGTCAAATTTCATGTGACTTTATTTATACTACATCCCCTGAATTTTCTTTATTCTGCAGATTAGTGGATATGTAAATAACATATGACTATTAAATTAGAAAATTTCTTTTTTTTATTATAAACTTTTAAATTTAAAATTTTATTTATTTTATTGTTATATTAATGATTCATTTATAATGTAAAATTTAATAAAAAAATAAATAAACTGTAGACAAAATGATCTTGTCAATGAAATTATATTAGCAGTGAAATGTTTGTTGATAAAATGAACATGTCAGTAAAATGATTGTATCAGTAAAATAATCGTCAGTGAAATGTTGTCAGTGAAATAATTCTGTCAGTAAAGTGTTTATCAGTAAATAATAGTTGGTAAACTGTTTATCAGTGAAGTGAATCAAACTTATAATATATCTGTAATTATTATACATAAAAAATAAAAAAAAACAGAATTACAAATATATAAAAATATATAGATTAAGTATATTTTATATATAATTTATATATAATTTTATATAATTAATTTATCATAATATTACTAAATTTATAATTTATTATTTTATTAATATTTAATTTTTTATAAGAAATTTATATATATAAATATATACGAAAATAATGTGAATTTTATATTTGTATATAAAGTATAATATATATATAATTATTATGTACTATATATAATATAAGAAAAAAGACAAAATTACAGATACATAAAATATGTAAATTAAGTATATTATATACATAATTTATATATGTAAATTTATATATATTATATATGTTTATCAAAATATTTATAAATAATTTATATATATAATTTTTATAATTTTATATAATTAATTTATCATAATATTTTCAAATTTATAATTTATTTAATTATTAAATAAATATAATAATAATAATATAATATAAATATTTTATAATGATAAAAATACTATTTAATATAATATAAAATATATAAAAGATTAACAATAAGTAATATTTAAAATATTAATTAATAATATATAAATAAAGTAACAAAATAACAATATTAGTAATAATATTTAAAAATATAAAAGTAAAGTTAATAATATTAGTAATATATAAAATAATAAAAAAAGTAAAGTTAGAAATATTAGTAATATATAAAATAATAAAAAAAAAAAAAGTTAGTAATATTAGTAATATATAAAATAAGTATAATTAGTAAACTATTAAATAGTTAATAATACTAAAATAATAATATTTAAAGAAATAAATATATTTAATAAAAAAAGATAATGTAAAAATATAAAAAAATAATCAAAAAAAATTTTTATTTTTTTATTTAGACAGTATTCGATATACCAGTTAGTTTCTATAATAAAGGTTTAATATAACAGAATTATGTGAAACTTTATTTGACTAATCTTTAATTAAAAAAATTGTAGCAGACTCAATAATCTAACTATAATTCTATTAATAATACTAGTCTAAAGATTACCACCTAAAGCGACCTTAGAAATTAAGCCTTCAAGATCACTAGATCTTAGAATCACTATCAAATTTGAATAAAAAGATTACTTTTAGCTAGGGTACTTTTAGTCAATTATTTTCTATTTTTATCAGTTTCAGGGTATTTTTTACACATGGTTAGAAGGCTTCAGGTGTAATCATCTATATATAAAACTTATAAAAATAAGTGGCTACCATATTAATTTTGTTAAATATATCTAAGAATTGAATCTAACTTTTGCCTTAAGAGATAGCTCAATTAAATGATTATT